TAATGTGGTCCCATGGCTACGGCACACACTGCTGGAAGCCAGGAATCTGCACTTGGTGTTCACTGCAGCAGAGAGATGGACGGGACCCTCTGTGCTCTCTTCTCCCCCTGAGCAGCAGTTTTCACATTGGCACCTGCTTCTTACAGGAGTCCTTGGACAGAAATGGTCACAGCACAATGAAACTTTTCTCCACGTGCCTCTGGATGTATTCTGTGGCATGGATACAGAAGTGAGAATAGATGCAGTGAGAAGATTTATAAATTATTACTATAATTTAATTAAGCTATAAATATATTGTTACTCAAAGATTTATAAATTATCTTCTCTAATGTGTGAGAAGCAAGCAGAAAAAATTGACCTGCTGCCGTGAGATTCTAGTACCTGAATTTTGGACTCTCCTGTGCCAGTGAGTAAGAGCATTAGCCTTGGGCAGAGCTGCCCATACCCCTGTGGAGCCCACAGCCAGGGAGGGCAGTGGGAACCCCTCCAGCCCTCAGTGCCAAATAAATACTTGTCTGCCACATGAACATCTTAATGCAGCATCCAGCTTGCTCCCAGCAGAGAAGAAGCTTCTAAATTTCTGCTGGCAGGAGCTTTGTGAGGAGGAAGAGCCCAGTCCTTCTGCAAGCACTGCCGGCACTCCTGCCAGGGCTAATGCCTCCAGCTTCAGACCACAGGCTTCAGCCTTGCCAGATCCTCCAACCCCTGCTTCTCCCTTTTTTTTTTTTCATATAAAATCCTATTGTTTTAGGTTAAAATCAGAAAACCCCAAGAGGTTCAGTGGGATGGGACTAATTAGGCAGCATGGACATAATCTGTTCTACACAAGCAATGACGGACTCCTAACATACTGCTAATGAACAGACCTGACAAATAAATGAAACAGGGCAAAGATTTCTCCTGCCAAGTAACACATTTTTCTGCCAAATACATTTGAAACAAAATAATCAAAGTAATTCTGTTGATTTTTAATTCCAGGTTTTGATTTTCACTTTGTTTTCAAACTTCTCTGATCTTTGTGAAGGGAAGGTGGAGGGCTCAAATTTCTATCCTTTTTTTTCCACGGACAAAGGAAATGGAGAGGAGAGAAATGGGAGAAAAGTGCTAGTGTTCAGTCTCTCTCCATATCGCCTCAGATATTTTATATATGAAGACAACATATGAAATATGGAAGGAGCGAAGGTTTCTTTCTTTTATTTCTTCTTGTTTGTTTACTTTTCCCCCTTTTTTACAAGCAGATAAGAGATTGGATAAAACTATACTAAAAATTCACAAATTCAAATACAGAAAAGCTAAATCCAGTCAAAGACTTGCTGGGCAACACTGAATTAGAAAGTTGAATTTTGATTTACTAAAAATTTTTACTGGAATTTTCTGGAACTGATTTAATTCCAGTTGCTTCATAATATAATTAATATAATATAATATAATATAATATAATATAATATAATATAATATAATATAAGGTAATATAATATAAAAATCTATATAATATATAAAAAGTTGCTTCATAATAAAGTTCATATTCCAATGGTAGGAGAATATAACTGATAAAGGAATATAGAAAAAAAAAATACAGAATAAATAGGGAAACCCAAAATGCAGAAACAAACTGTTTCAGGTCATGATTCTGAAATCTGTCATATTTCCTACAATACAGAGGACATTGTAGAAACACCAGTCAGTCTTAACCTTCAAGGCATTGAGTTTTCCCAGCACCTTGTCATTTCCACTGAAGTGTAACATCTTCAGCATCTCACAGTATCTGCCCCCCACTCCCATATGTCTGGTGTGAAATTTCCCCAGACTGCCTCCATATGGGACTGCTCTGGTCATGGAAAAGCTGCTCCTTGTCTCCAGCCTTGCTATGTCACTTGCTGTAATCATGACTTATGGATGAGTGTTATCACTGCATGAGAAATTCAGCCATCCCCAGCCAAGTAGTGAAAACCACAGCCCTTGGAAAAAAATAAACCAACATACAGTTATTGCCACTGTTGCTTTTGCTATAGTCAAGGGAGTCTTCAAAATATATTTCCCAACATCTCACTTCCAGAGCTTTGTTTCACAGGCCTCAGCTACAAATCACAGCCCTCCACCCAGGGATGCTGATGGTCTGTTCTGCACTGAGCCTTCATCGCTGTGTGTCTGAGAGCGTCTTCACACACACCATGCCAGCAACGCTCCAATGTAGTTAGAGGAGCCTGAGCTGTCCATTAATCTGACCTTGCTCTCACAAAAATTACTCTTTTGTGCTTGAACCATCCAGCTGATGTTCTTCATGCTGAGGAGATAAATATCAGGTCAGCATGGTGTTTCTTTTTTTTTATTTAACTAATAGAGGGCACTAAAATCTGACAATATCTAATTATTAAAATATGAGGAAAGGGGAAGAAATGGATGGCTTAGACACTCCTACCAGAAGACAACTTTGTCACTCAGCGTCACCCTGTTACCTGTATTACCTATAGACCTAGGCAAGGTCTTGAAACTGGGCTGCCCACTCACCACAGATACTGGGTAGCATCTTTTGGTGCTCTCAGGAGGCTTTTTGCCTATATTGAACAAGCTAACTTTAACTTCCCTAACATTACCTCCTTTCCCCAGAGGTTTTGCCTGCACTGACCACCTGCCAGTCGCTCTGGGGCGAGAGGAGAGGAGAGGAGACAGAATTTCTTCACAATTGCTCCCCAGTTTCCTGCCATTCTCTCCCTCATGTTGGACCAAGCACAGTGGCTTTCTGTCCACTTTCCAAAGGAGCCTTTTACTGGAAGTTTGGACTGAGCTGTTTCTTTTTGGGAGGTCTTCATAATCAAGCACCGCTAGAAGACATGAAACAAACCAGGGAAATTTCATGGTCTCCTTTCAAAGGACTCGTGTGCCAGGAATCAGTGGCGTCTCTGAGGAGCTGTATTCACAGGGAATTGGGGAAGCCAAGCCCAGGGTGGCAGCCTGGGAACGTGATCTGAGTTTTGTGGACTCTCAGTGGGTATCTGTGCTGCATGGAAAGTGCCACTGAGTAAAGGATATGCTTTCCCACGTGCTGAAACCAGCAGGAGATGCTGTGTGATATACAGGCAACTTCTTTATCCTCGGACTGCATGACTTGTAGCCTGAGAGACACCTCCCAACACTCCTCATTTCTGCTGATGTGGCATCTTGGATGCTCCCATGGGGGTCCAGGCTCTGTAGTGCAAACACAGAAACCAAAGAAAAAGTACCCCCAGTGACCTGTGCGCCGAGGAGAAGCCTCCCAGTAGCTCTCCTGGCAGTGCTGCCAGCTTCTGGGGAGCAGAAACCACCCTCTGCTCCCTGCTTATACAGCTGCTGAGTACCTGAGCTGCCAAGCTGATGCAAGGACTGGCAACTAAGGCACACTAATGCACTTTCCCGCCCCGTTTAGCTTCCCTGAAATCCAACTTCCAAAAGTTACTGCTATCTTCCTCACTTATCTAGAAAGCCATTTGAGAGACCAGCAGGCCTGTGCCAGCCTCCCTCCATCAGCAGCCTCTCAGGAGAGCCTGTATGGCAGCTCTGGTCCCACTCAACCTACAGGGGGCAAAAGGGACAGAGGCCTCCTTAGATGTTTTTTACTTTTTTAAACAGTAGAAATAGGAAAAAATCCCTGTTCTTGGTGAAAACAGTGGGAGAAATAAAGTGAATACATATTACTTCACCCCCTTTCCTACCTCCATGTATTCCTGGTCTGAGCCAGGGGACTGGGAAAACTTAACCTAAAGCCCCCCACTTTGTTTCACTTCTGCTTTCTTCTAGATGTTTTTGGAGGGAGATGTTGCAGGTGGCCTTCTCAAATGTGTTTACTGTGTGCAAGGGGAAAAAGTGGAAAAGCCATGACTAGACTCTCAGAAAGAAATCAGTAGTCCTCTGGAGTACTGTTATGCTACAGGTGTAAAGATTGCAGCGCTCCAATCAAGATAGAAGTAGCAGTGTGTAGGACTGCAATAGGCACACATCCTCAGTAGTCAAGGAGGACTTCATGAGTCAGGGCAGGGCAGCTCCATGAGAGATGCAGTGTGCTGGCCTGGCAGCAAGCAGGGTGAGCTCACAAGCAGCAAAGGGACAGAGAAGAAATGATCACATTTATGCCAGGTGCCAAGCTTCAGACTGTGCTGTCACTTCCATCTGCCCTTGTACTGTGGCAATGCACCTGATGATACAAACACCACGAGTGCTTGGTCTGTGCTCTCACTGAGCAGTGTGGCCATTTCAGCCAGCCCTGCACAGCCCAGAGCACGTGCTGAAAGGTGTGTAACACTGCAAAACTGCTCAGCATTGGCAGAGAGAGGGAACATCATGACTTTTCCAGCTGCAACTCTTGCAAATCCGTGGGAAACTTTTCCTCTCAAATATCTCCAGTAGTTTGCTATATTCATTCTTGTTGTCTGGCTTGTACTTCTGTGTGCAGATAATTCCAATGCAGTTGCTTAAAGCTATCCTCCATTTTGGTATCAAGCCACATATTTTCAACCCTATAATATTTGTCATTAATATAAGCATATATTTATATGTGTTAAATGCCAAATTGGCATATGATCTCTTGGCTAAGACAGAGCCTGGAGACTTCTCCACATGGCATCCCTCCAGGCTGCAGGGATTGCTTCCATTTCAAATAACAACTTTTCCTTGAAAGCTTCTGTGGCACCTGTGTTAACAACAGCAAGAGACCTTCAGGACCACGTCAAAGCGCACTTGGCAGCTGCACAGCAGGGAGGGAGCACTGACTTTTGTTCCTTTGTCCCTCGAACCTGTCTGTGCTGTGAAAGCAGAGCCATGTGTGCAGCCCATTGGCAAAGCCTTCCCGGGCCACAGGCTCCTTTTCACCACAGCCGAGCTCCTGAACCCCCATCACCTCCCATCTGCAAGGTATTCTCACTTCCAAGCCCAGAACAGCTCTGCCTGTGCTGGAAATCTGCTTCAGTACTCAAAATAGACTCACCTCTTCTATCTCTCTATCAGTCCAGCTCTGGCTTCCCCTGTCAAGGTGCCCAAGGACCTCTCAAACCAAACAAGCTCCCTGAAAAGCCTCCTCCTCAGGGCTACCTCAGCTGCTGTGGATCCCCTTTTTCATCCTGTACTGCTTCTCACACATCATCTCATAGTAGCAGGCTCTCTGATTCCAGCACTTCAGCAGTAAGTGACAAAGGAGTTGATTGCAAACAGATACTTACGGTATGTGAACATGTGAATGCATTCTTATGTTCAAGACTGGAAATCTTAAAATTTTTTTATTTCCTTGTATTTCCCCACTCATTTCATGTTCCATTTTTAGCTGTGCTTGCAATTTACTTGGAACCTGCCCTCTCAAGTCAGATGTATGAATTATTGCTTTGCTTTCTCTGGGAAAATAATACTAGAGAACGGCCACTCCAGCATACACAAGTATTACTGGCAAGGAATATGTAGGTAGTTAGATTTATATGGCTGTAAGTGAAAGCAGAACTTGGCTCTGTTCTGCCTGACTGTCATGAAAAGAGATAGTCACAACGGGCTTTCGTATGAACTTGGCTCCTAGAAATTACAGCAATAAAAATAGCAATGCCATCATTTGTTAATTCTAATTATTCCAAAGCTCAGACATTCAATCCTGTTCTTAAAGGGATGTGCTGAACAGAAATGCCTAAAAAGAAAGTAGTAGTTCTTTTATCAGCACAATACAGACAATATAGAGCACTCCAGGAATTTATACCATGACCACATGTCAGCACATGGTTTGAGTTCTAGAAGAACTACAGGTTCTTCTAGACAGAAAAAAAATACTTCTTCTCTAGCATACTTTTCTTTCCATATTTGCAGAGTTTCTGAGGCAAGTTTCTGTTACTGAGGTGAATTGTAGGCAAATGTAGAGAGACATTATGGTGACTGACCCATGCCTTGGATATCTGCAAGCAGAAATGCCACCAGCCAGGCTGTGATCCTCATATCTTAGCAAAAAGTGGTCAGTAGATCACAAACAACAGGAATCAGAAGTAAGAAATCAGTTATAATTTTATTTTTCCCCCCCCACAGGGCCTTGGGAATATTCTCACAGCTCTGATGAGTGTCCAAGCCTTAGCCATCTCCTGTTCTCATTGTCTTACAGATGGTAGTGGTACTGATTTACCTTTTTGTGCTTGCCAATGTCCAACTAACAGCATTTGAGAGCTAAGCAATTCCAGGCAGATCCTTCTGCATGTTCTGTGCATTAAAAGCTCAGAAACAGAACAAAACTTTTCACTCAAATGTCACATGCAACTGTTATATCTTGTTCATTTCTTCAATGGATGTGCTTACTTTCAAGTTCTTGTAGGGCTGATGATAAGTGCCATATTGACAAGCCCAAAGTTTTCTACAAATTCTTCACATCTTCATGGTATTAGAACCTGACCATTTCCAGCTGGCCATGAATTTGTGTGGCACATCCATCCCATGAGAGGTATCTTCCTTCACACCCCCTTGCTGGCAAAAGTGCACACAAGACCAACATGTTGGGGTAGTATTTTTTGGAAGATGTGAAATTTTCCAGCCAATTGTGCTGCACAGTCATCACATAGCAAGTGCTGGTAGTTAATTCCTTCCTCCCTCGCTTGCATGCTCCCCTACAGGTTCTGAATCCACTGGCCACTTCCAGTCACACTGGATGGAATGGAACAGATATCAAAGATAAGAAGGGATATAAAGCAGTGAAAACCAGGGCTTGGATAGAGGATGGAGACCTCAGTGAGAGAGGGAAGGACTGCAAGGTGAGAAAAGTAATTACCTGTCCTGTTTGATTGCCAGCTGGTATGGAACAAACATATCTGAGAGCAGTCAGTACCACATGACTCCAAACAGGCAGTGGCACATGCTGCTTTTGGTTTCCCTGGAGTCAGAGTATCACTGGAGAAGAAATGAGAGTCTGTGACGTATTTCAGGTAGTGCATGGAAAAGTGAGGTTATGGAAAATGCTTGCATTGGTTGTCATTATGCTGATGATATCCAGAAATCCCTTAGAAAAACAGGCTGCAGCAATTTGCATGACCAGAAAATAACTTGTTTTAATATTTGCCTGCTCATTGTTCCCTGCAGAAGAGATGGGTAATGCCAAATGCCTGGCACTGGGAGACAGAAAATTCTGAGCTGCAGGATGTCCCCAGAGGCTGGTGGAGAACAGTTTGTCCTCTGTGCAGATGGGTTTCCATGTGCAGAGCTGTCACAGAGCTCAGACTCCCCAGCAGATATGAGCAACTGAAATTAGTTTTGCTCCTAAGGCAGAAACTCAACTCAAATTACCTTCTAATGTGGCAAACAGTGCACATGTCCACAAGCTGCTGCTACAGGCAAAGTTCTGTTAACCTTTAGTCAGTGAGTTACTCTAACTTCACTGTGATGCTGCAGGACAGAGGTGAGATTGCCTAGAATGGAAGTTTAGCAAGAAGAGTACATCTGCAGGACCATTAATCACAATACCATTGCATCTTTTTTTTTTTGTACAAAATTATCTGTTTCCAGTAATGACACTTTCTTTACTTGATGTGCTTAGCTTCTTTTTCCTCTTACATTTCCCCATGCAAAGAGTAGCAATTGCAATGAAATGAGGGGAGAATCAGAAGAGGAGGATGAGGGTACCAATATGTACTGTGAGAGTATGTTTTTCATCAAATGAAAATAAACTTCCCCAAAAGCAATCTTGCTGTGCTCAGCAACACAAGTTGCCCCATCATGGAGTCCTTCTGACTGATCATTAGTCAAAATCAGAGCTCTTTCCTTTCCTGCCCATGCTTCCACATGGAGCAGACACGTTGGTAATGAAGATGTCTGCCTGCATGGGCTTTGCACGTGACCTTTCTCCAAAAGCAATTCTTTCACATCAGTTTTCCATCAAAGTCCTCCTGTCCAGCTAATTCCCATGAGGTGTCCTTAGGCCTCCCAGCTGGATGGCTAAAGCATTGACCTATTCCCTGACCTTGGCATACATTTTATAATTAAACTTGCAAAAGCAAGCAATTCTTCAGACTGCCAGGCCAGGCAAGAAACCCGGGTTCTAAGAAGCCACACACTATGCACATGTTTTGTTTTACTGAGATCACTGGATTTGGCCAGCTGCTGACTCCTGGATTAATGACCAATATCTCCTCCCCTCAGGTGTCCCACTTAGGTTTTCCCTGGAGAAATGGGGCATCCATCAGACCTGCTGGGGTTCGAATCCCAAATTACTTTGGACATTGACCTTTCCAGCACTGCATGAATTTTTTTAAACAGTTACTGAAATTTCAATTAATGATTTATTTATTTTATAATTAATCAGCCTGATGGAGGAAAAAGGGATAGACTCTGACAGCTCCTTAGTCCCAGAGCTGCTTATCAGCATGTACAGTAAACAGGGAGAAAAATCATAAATATTTCATTATTCCTCAAGATAAGGGATTTTGGAGTGAAGAATTGCTTCCCAATAGCAAACTTCAGGGCAATGTCATGAAAATGGGTCACAGATTCCTAGAATGTAAAGTCTGTCATGGGTCTTCCCTGCAGCAAAGGATTCTGTCCCGCTCCCACACAGCTCCTTTAGGATTCCCAGGCAGCTCCACGCCAGCATGGAAAGTCAGGGCTGCACCTGAAGTGTCTGCATTATCACCTGCATTCCTCATCTTTAGGAACAGAGTGAAACCCCATTTGGTTTCTCATTTCAGAGGAACATAGTGTTTCCCAGCACAACAACTGCTGTTTGGGTCTTCTGCCTGTGTAGAGATGAGGTATTTTTCTTGCTTTGGGAAGAAGGTGCCTTGCAGGCTGAAGGAACCATGCTCCCCACAGCCCTTGCAGCCTCTGCCACTGCAGTGGGAACTCAGCAAAGCCTGGGCCCAGCCCACGAAACTCAGCCAGCTGGGAGAGAGGAGCCTCCAAAGACCATCCCACTACAGGGTCCTCTGGGCAGGGATCCTGGAGCTGACAACAGGACGTGGGTGATGGACTCCTGAGAGAGAAATGATGCTCCCCTGTCCCTGCAGGAAGCTGCTCTGGTTCCTGGCTCTATTTAGCATTCACAGTGATGACTTGGCATGTTCTCTACATAAATCCTGATAAACTCCTAACCTCAAAAACATCCTGTAACTAGGGGTTGCCGTGTCGAGTTGCCATATGGTGTGAAAAAGTGCTTCCCTTTATCACTATTAAATTTGCTCCTGCTGCTGAATTTCACTGAACCTCTTATTTTAAAGACAATGTGAATATTAATTCCTCCCTCTCTTATCTATCCCACCCACTCTCTACATACATTTCCCATGTCCAGTCTTATTAATCTCCTCTTCAATGTGAATTCCTCCAACTGTTTTCAGTTTCTGCTTAAGAAAGTTTTTCTTGTCCACATCGGTAATGGCATCAGTCATTACCTGCCAACCTTGAATACAGACCAAAAGAATAGTAGCCAGAAGATCAAGGCAACTGTAACCCATTATTCAAAAATTAGGTCAAGCACCACTTCTTTTAATATAGCTACAGAAATAACTTCAGGTCTTACAACAACATCTTTTGTTTCTGTTTGTGGCATTATTTTACTATTATTATATTCTGTACAGTAGGGCATATGTTTTATTAATTTGCAGAAGCATAAACAGCTTTTTAAGCTTCTATTTAAAGAGCTCTTGGCAAACTGTATAAGGCCTAAAAGTACACAATCTTTTTTTACATGTTTTTAATCCCTTCCCTAAACAAACCTTCTGACTTGAATATTTTACATTTTGAAGGCACTCTGTTTTTTGATTTTCTGTGTGATGCTCACTATTAATGGTACACATCACATCTTTGTGGTATCTACATTATCTGTTTTCTATAAGTGTGCCATCATAATTCAAAACATCAACTTTCAAATACATTTTTCCTCTGCCCAAGGGAAACCACATCACTTTTTTTTTAACACTTCCTGTGCAATTGCAATTACCAAAGTCTAGTTTCCATGGCTCTTCCAGTCTTTAATGTTTAATGTAAGTGTCTTGGTATTCTTTAAATATCTATCAATTCTCCTAATATTCACCCTGACTGTGAAGCAGTCTGTGCAGCTGTTTTACAAAAAGTCTGCATTTCAGCCTCCTAATGGAAAAAGATATATGCCTGGACCAGTTTGCAGAGCCACCTTGTCTGTTCCCCTATAACCCTTCCCTAAAGCTCCTCCTTTAGGGAGAGGAATCTGAGGAAAATTGTTACTGTTCTTCTCTCCTCGTCATGAAAACAAGAGTCCCCCTTCATCCTCTGTCCCTTCCAGTCCCTTCCCAGCATAAACATCTCTTCCACTACAGATACGTGACAGGGCAGAAGAGCCTCAGTTTATGTGTGAGCATCAATTGCAACAAGACAGTATAGTTTAATGATATAAAGAAAAACTAAATATTTATAGGATTTTTCAGGATGCTCAATGTTGTTCTGCAGTGAGAGAACCCTCAAATATCTTAGTTGTCCTCTCAAAATGTTACTTTTCTCTTCCCTCTAAACTAATGGGCCTTGTAAATTCCTGATAAGAGTATTTTCATTCCCAGAAGTCACCACACCAGGACTACATCTGTTAATCAAAAAGTTTCTAGGCAAAGCTGTCACCTTGAAACTCATGTTTGTATCAGAGTCAGTACTGAAACTAAAAGCCCACTCAAGTCCCTTGACCTGATTGTGTTGATCCATTTTCTAAAACCCAAGGGAGTTTATTTTTATTGTTTCTCTAAAATATAAAAAAAGACAATTAAAAATAATTATATATGAAAACACAAGCAAAGAGGAAATGAATAAGCATTAAGCCCAGAACAATGGGATGGGTCACAAACAATGTGTCAGGCCAAACAAGAGCTGCAGCCTCGGCTCCAGCCCTTCAGGGCTTCTGAATGTCCTTAACTCTATTTCCCTTGGTCTGATTCTGCACTGATTATGTCATTAAGGCCCCAAGTGCAGTAAGAACAAGGGCAAGCCCTGAAGAAACCTTCTTGCCCAGGCATGTCTGTAGCTAGAGGAGAAGAACAGTACCTCTGAAGTCATGCTAGTGCTGTGCTGAGGGAGAATTTGTTTCTCTGTGAGACTAGCGATGACTTGGGAAAGGACCTTCCAAGTGAGACTACTCTGTGATGCAGTGGAGGCTCTTTGGTTTATCAGCAGACATGTTACATCCCTCTCTAGGAGCCTGTTTATATTGTTACATTTTCAGAAGGCATTTGTCCAAACTACCATCAACTCATTCAGGCTGAACTTCAGGTTGAATCAAAATATTCCCACAGAGGTGTGGAGGAATGCCTGTGGCTGAGATTGTACCAAACTTGTGTCAAGTTATTCCCAACTATTAAATAATCTGGCAGTGGCCTCTTAAGCAGACCCAGAGCAGTGTGGTTTTAAGAAGCCTGCAGCGCACGGAGAAATGTGTTGTTCTTAGCTGCAGCCTGAGAACTGGAAACATTAGTTATGAAGTAGACAAAAATGTAAATAGGAGAGATGTGTTGACCACTGCAGGCAAACACAAGGAGCCAGGGGAATAGAAAGAACTGTAAGTCTTTGTTCAGATGCTGTGACACAGCTGACCCCAAGGTGGCTCAGGACAGAGATCTGCTACAAACCATCCAATAACTCATAGGAAGTAGAAGGAATTTTAACAGGCATTTGTACAAGATATCCAAACAAGGAGATATGGTGGTAATATGAGATTTTAGTTGCCCAAAACTGTGTTGGAAAAACAACAGTGTAACTTAAAAACTCTAGTACATAACCAAGACTTTCAGCAGGAGTAGATGAGTGAAAAGATCCTGAAAGTTTTCTGTGCTAGAATATTAGAGCAATCTACCCCTATGCAGAAGAACACCAGGCACATGGAGGTACTATTCCAGCTGCAGCAACTTTCTGAGGACTTTGAAATGTGTAACACAAACCCTTTGCTAAGGATAAGTACAAGAGAATAAGATAAACAACGGAGTACAGAAGCAAAGCTGCTACAGCACAGAAGGCATTTCAGCTTAGGAAACACATCAACGGGAACTGGAAAGGTTCTATAAATACATTTTAATTAGAGGAAGAAAAAGGAAAGTCTTGATCCATTGCTAAACAGGAAAAGAGAGCAAATTGTGCAGAGAAGACTGGCATATTTCTTTATCCAGTCTTTATTTAAAAAAAAAAAAAAAGAAAAAAGAAAAAAAGAGCAGTTACTTAACCAAATTATTTTTAAAATTAGTGGAACTGCAGGTAAAAACAGGAAAAGACCAAGTTTAAGAATACTTCAATGAGCTAACTGCACACAAGTCAGCAGGGCCTCATAGAGTTCACCAGAACTTATTCAAGAAATAAGATGAAGTAATCTGTGAATAGCTAGCAATTATTGTAAAGCAATTATTCTAAAGTATTCTTATAGAACAGGATGAGCCCTGGAGCACAGGAGAAGGGTGACTATAGTGCT